AGCACGTCCAGGGCAGCATCTGTTTGCTAAAATATGCCAATTGGTATTCCATCAATTCCTGGGGTCTTGCTTTTTTGCCAGTTCCTTCAGAACAGCTTGCACTTCCTCCTTCATCACCGTTGTCTCTTGATCATATGTTGTTTAATTAAATTCTTCTGTGTCAATCAATTCTTTGTGGTACAGTGCCTCTGTGTACTCCTCCCATATTCTTTTGATTCTTCTTGACTCATTCAACATTCTGCCCTCAAAACCCTTAAGTATTGCAACTCGAGGCTTACCCTTGTTCTTCAGTTCCTTCAGTTTAAGAACTGTAAAGTAAGTTAACCCCTTATGATTGTTTGACTCCAGCTATTTGCATATTTCATTGTAATACTTTGCTTATTTCTTCCTCAGGTGCCCTTAGAAATTGTCTGTTCAGATCCTTAACTTTTTTTATTTCTTCCTTTTTCTTTGACTTCTTGACACTCTGGTTCAATACTCAGAAAGTCTCTTGTGACATCTGCAGGACTGGGAGATGCTGGAGGGCCAAGCAGAGGGAACTGAGCTGGAAACTGGCTTCTTATATCTATGGAATTTTAAAATCAACTTTTAGTTTGTTTTATCTCTCAAAATATTTAGAGTTTCTCATTGTCAACATTAAATCATCAAATTTTATTACCATTATCATATTGCCTCTATTTGTATGTAGTCATAAACGTAAACTTTGGTTTGTTCCCATGGGCTAAATGTGTATATGTTTTATGAAACATTACAGGGGAATGTTGTTATCTCCACAGATTGACAGCTCTATAAAGTGGTCAGGGCGGAAATAATGTAAACTAATTCTGAGAGAAGTAAGGTTGTTTCTATTTTTATTTAACAGGTGAACTTTTAGCCACAGACTCTTGATTGCTATCACTTTAGTATCACAATAGGACATAGCCTATTAACTGGGCCTTTTGACTGAGCATCTGGATCAGATTTCATTTAACAGCATGTGTCACTAGAGCTAATCATATTTTGTGGATGGTCTTAAAGATTATGCATTACAAGAAATGCCCACGAAAATAAAATTATATTTTCAAGTATACCATCAGTCTGTGCAGCCATGATAACATTCTGTTTTCAAATGGAGAGGTGACTTAGTAATTTATTTTGACCACTTGTCCAAAAATTGGATGGTTCTTGAACAGGACTTCTATGGAGACAAAAACCAGAAGCACAATTTTATGGCCAGTATGTTGGGCCAGGGTGTTGGGCAGCTGCACTGCTTGCTTGTCACAAGTCTTAAGGATCTGGACTATTTAATGTGACAGTAGAACTAAAAATAGGAGCATTGTATCCTGTGTTTATATAGACTACAATTCTCCTCTTTTAGATGTTGAACATATCTACATAATAGGTGAGGTGATAGAAAAACTTTATGTAACCGTTGTTCTATCTTGAACTTGAAGGACTGAATGGACTTTGAAAATAATAAAGGGATGGAAAAAGCATTTTCTTTTAGACCTGAGATTAATCAAAGACCTGACAATAATGAAGATGAGGGTTTGCTCAGGAAAAGATGAATAACCTGGTATGATGTCAAGATGAGATACTCAGAGGGGAGTAATAGGAGTTAAACTGGAAAGGGAGGTCACAATGGAAGACTTTTCAGCTCAGGAAAAAGAATTTTGAACTTTGTTTTGTATATCATGGCAAAGGACAAAAACAGGTCTGTGTTCAAGAAGATGATGCTGTGGTTGCTCAAAGGATGGATTTAGGAAAGAACCTCTAAAGAAAACTATCTAATCAGTTGAATGAGCCAAAAGTGAGAATTTAAACTGGGGAATTAATAATAAGAAAGAATAATTTATTGTAGAAGAAGAATTGAAAGGCTTTGGAGAATGAAAAGACAAAATATCCAATATTATTATTATTATTATTCTGAACTCAATTCTTATATTTCTCTTATAAAATGACCTGCTAACAAATAAAATAAAGCATGACCAGCTAACACATAAAATAAAGCATAATCTCACCACTGGGCCAATTGACAGCATCATTATGGATGGTGAAGAGATAAAGATTGTTAACAGTTTTAGTTTGCTTGGTACCAGCAGCCAGGAAATCAGGATATGAATTGCATTGGAAAAGCTGGCTATCAGGGACATTTCCAGAATACTGAAGAGCAACAACATCAGGCTGGAGACTAAGTGCACCTGATCCATAGTTTTCACAATTGTGTGCTATGAGTCAGAGAGCTGGACAATGACTAGGGAGGATAGAAAGAGAGTGGATGCCTTTGAGCTGTGGTGCTGGAGAAGAGTGTTGCATATACTGTAGACTGCTAGAAGAACAAACAAGTTTTCCCTGGAGAAGGTGAAACCACGATGCTTCTTGGAGGCAAGGATTCTGGAGCTTCATCTGACATACTTTGGGCATGTTGCAAGGAGGGAAGAGTTCTTGGAGAGGGACATCATGTTTGGGAGGGTGGAGACACAGTGCAAGAGAGGAAGGCCCTCGATGAGAAAGATTGATTCAGTGACTGGGGTAATAGGAGTAGGTGTGTCAGAGACAGTAGGGTTGGCACAGGATAGAACAGGGTTTAAGACTCTTGTATTTAGGGTCGCTATGAATCACAAGTGACTCGACAGCATATAACAACAAAAAGAAGGTTCACTTTGAACGTGTCTGTTAGAAACTAAATTTAAAAAACTAATAATCTTTTTAAACTGATCTATTGCTCTATACCATTACTTGTGTACTCAGCCACCAGAGTAGTTAATTGTGAGACTATCCATTTTGATTGTAAATGATTAGTTATTGAATATGTTTTAGAACATGGTTGCAAGGAAAGATACAAATGTAAAGAGGATGTAGAGATATGAGTCATGCTGATCGTTTTTCTTCTCTTTGTAGAGGATCTCCGTGTCATGAAGACAGTCATTTTTGTGATGCTGGCATAGTTCATAGGGAACTGTGCACCTAACTCAAAGGCCACACGTTTTTGGCTGTTCGAATCCACGGGAGGTTCCATAGGGAAATGATGGGCAAACACTATCTTGTGATTTACAGCTTCAGAAATTCAAAGGAAGGTCACAAGCAGGAATTGGATCTGACAGCAATGAGAGAGAAACACTTGAGACTGCCAGAGATTTGAATGATTAAGGAATTATCTTCTAGTCAGTGGGTGGCAGCATTGCAAAGTGGAAGGACCATACATTGTATAATTTGGAGACTATGGTAATAACTATGGCAATGTGTGATCGTATCTCCTTTCAGAGATTCCAAGCTTTTGCTTCTCAGCAGCAGAACCTGTGCCTTGTTAAAGAAAAGTATTGAACATACTGTGGGCTTCCAAGAGAACAATCAGGTCCTGGAGATTGCTGGTGAATTCAGGTTGCTCCTTGGAGGCAAGGAGTGTAAAAGTCCATCTCATATACTTTGAGCATGTTGCAAGGAGGGACTCGTTCTTTGATTTCTCATTTTTTGATATTATGCTTGGAAGAGTGGAGGGACAGTGCAGGAGAAGAAGAGAGAAGAGGGATTGAATAGTAACGATAGTAATGGGGATAGATGTGTGGGAGACAATGAGATTGGCTCATAAAAGGGCAGGATTCAGAGCTATTGTGCATGTTGTTGTTTGTCATCAAGTTAGCACTGACTCAAAGCTGACCCTCTTTAGTGGGTTTTCAGAGACTGTAAATCACACAGGAGGAGATTGCCCATCCTTCTCCAGAGGAGCAGATGGTGGATTCAAACCCTGTGCCTTTGCCTTTGTAACATGGATTCTTCCTACTAGGCCACAAGAGCTCACAGGGTCACTATATGAGTTGAAAGCCACTCAATGGCACATGACAACAACAACATACTGTAATGTGCATGTGTGTGTGTGTGTGTGTGTGTGTGTGTGTGTGTGTGTATAAAGTCAGCATTCAATGGAGTTCAGAAAAAGATGATTGGTTTTTAAGTATTTCAGGTAGTTTTGACAGCTAAATTTCAGAACTAATCATTCAATATTTCTGAATGTTAGGTTTATTAAGATTGCTATAAGCACTAATGATAAAATATAGCTTAATTTCGTGAACCTTATGTCACAAGAAAATATCAGTTGCTGATTGGAATGACTCTTCAAATATTTTTTTCACTTCTAAGACTTGATCAATGTTTCACCAGTTTAAAGCTTGACTGCGTGAGAATATGTTTATTTGAATTTCAAACATTATGATAAATTATGATAAAAAACACATTAATTCATTCTATTAATTGAATGATGGTCTTTGTAATGTCGAGGAGATAGTAAAAAGTGTGAGATTCCTGCTTAAATTTACTTTTCAAAATCTGAAAAATAAATACCAGTCTTTAAAAACAGAAAGGAATTATAAACAGAAGTTTTTCTATGTATATTTTAATACAAAATTAATATTTATTTTTATTGTGATAATTTAATTTGCAAATATATTTTGACCTCCTGTTTTATGAGTCATAGCATAAGTTAAATACATTGTTTTCTTCTTCATCTCTTTCAGTCAAAAAATAAACAAAATAGAAATGAAACATACAACAGAACACTGAAAAACTTTGTGCCAGTAAAAACTGTGGCGCTGTTGATACACAGGTTTTTCAAATAGTAATCCAAGTTAAAGATATTTTAGCAGCTCAATATGCAATCTATGCACAATGATATGTAGCATAAATGTTAGTTGACATTGACATATTTAACTTGGTTTCATAAATTTATTCACAGTTGCAGAATTACTGGCCTTTAATGGCCCTGAGGGATTTCCTTATACATCAGTCCACTTGATCTTATGAGAGTATCTCCATAACTTTCTTCTCCGATCTCTCAGCTTTTTTCTCAGTTATGCTTCTTCAACCCTGTCCCAGGATCACTTACAAGTTCATCCATTCTGGTTCATCATTTCTCCCTCTGGGCCTGTAGAGTCACCTCAAAAGGCAAAGCTCTTCCCTCAAGAACCACACTGGAACATTCCTTTCATACTTGATACCATCTTGAATTTCCTCCAATCAGGAATCTGTCACTTAAGGCTATTAGCCTGAAGGTCATTTAAAAGGTTTAAGTAAATATGTGACTTGAGGAACCTGGGATAGGAGTCTTTTTCCATAAGAGTGTATATGATTTTTTGGGCTTCGTCGAAACATGTTGGGGTTGGCACCTTAATCTTCTTGGCTGTAGATTCTCGAGTGTGAAAGTCAATATTGATCTAAAAAGAAATTGTATTAGTTAGCATACACCTTTCATTTATTGAAAGTTTTACCATGTTACAAGCTTCCCCACCCTTTTTATTATATTTTGCATTTTATTTTATATTGCATTGCTTACAAAGTTTGTATACTTTGTGTTTCATATCATTCCCATGAATATATTTTATAAAATCCAGCACCATTGGACCTTGCCCATCATTACCCAATCTTTTTCAGGTCTCCACTGGATCCTTTCCCTTCCCTCACCCCCTCCCTCTACCCACCAAACTGTGCAGCTCTACCCATCCTCACCCCTTCACTCCCACCCTTCCCCTTCTTGGATTCCCATAAATATTTTACTAGTTTTACTTCTATTTTTACACTAATGGTCGTATGCACTATTTGTCCTTAGGAGACTGAGTTCACTCAGCATAATGCTCTCCAGTCTATGTAGAAATACATAATGCTCTCCCAAGTTATGGAGAAATAATTACAAAGTGAAGCATAGTTTCCCATTGTGTTACTAGATTTTTTAAATACCTCCAGGAAACAGTTTTAAGTTCTCATTCAAATATCTCTTGAATTTTTATTCTAGCTGTCTAGCCTATTCTGACTTATAGCGACCCTCTAAAGGGTTTCAGAGGCTTCAAATCTTAATGTAAGCTTTCAGCTGATGGATTTGAACTGTTGTCCTTTTGGTTAGCAGCACAACACTTGGCCAGCAGAGCTGCTTCATACTAGCAGTGGAGAACATGAGAAGAAATATCACAAAATGAAAAGTGAAAAAGGTCTTTGCTTCAAGTTAGCTCTTTGTATGCAAAAGAGACATACACGGAAAATTCTAATATCTATACAAAGCACTGTAAAAAATAATAATGCAAACACTTAAAATATACAGGGAGCGGGAAAAATTACACAGAGAGCTCTCTGTCCAGCTATTTTCTACCAGAATTGGTGTATTGAACTGAAAGTTTGGCACTCCTCTTTTCTCTTGCAATTGTGAATATCCCATACTTCTCATTACAGGTGAATAGCTCATTAAGAACTCTTTGATGTGCAGTTCTGTCCAGCAATGTGCAATGTTCCCACTTCCTTCTCTACCTACAATATGGTTTCCTAGTTTTGCAAGCTCTTTTTTCATCCTTATTGTCCTTAACCTTTTCCTATGACCTTCACAAATTAAAAAAAAAGCTTGCATTGAACTCTGCCAGCACACTTAAATACATAGCAGTGAAGTCATGCTGCCCCAAAAAGATTTCATTTTGTTGTGTAAGTTGCATATTATTTCTGTATTTAAACTTCCTTAACATAAATGGGAGATAATGAACGTGATACTCACTTGCTTAGCAGCGTCTGAGTGAACAAATGCTTTATAGATTTTTTGTGCTTTAGAGTGCAAAAGATCAGTCTCTGTTTTCTTATAGTCTTCACAAGCCAGCCAGAACTCAATATTCTCCTCACTGAATTCAGACTTCAGAAAATTTCCAAAGACATCTTGACCAGCTGGGGGGAAAAAATTAAAATGAAGGAGATAAAGACATAAAATCAAGAAATGAATAAATTGAAGACAACATTTAGAAGAAAAATATTATTATACTCCCACTGTACAAAGATAAGAGATATCTCAAAGGACAATACTGGAATAACTCATAATTTTTGGTAAAGGGAAATTGTTAGCTAGTTTCTTCTGCATTTAAAGAAGTGGGGTTTGGGACCAGACAAATGTGCCTTTATCTACAGTATGTTTTGCTTTTGTGTGCTATTTAAATTCAAATTCTACTCTGCTACAATCCCTTTTCTTATGTATGCGCTCCTAGTGAGGTGTGGTGAAAGGAAACATTACAAAGAGCATTAATAGCATAATAACAATAATACACTAATGTAACTTTCCCCTTTCAGTTAGAAAATGTAAGCTCTATACATTATGTATGTTGTTTCTGAATCTTAAAAGTGGGCCATTTCTACACAGTTTAGCTGTAAACTAAATCTGATAACAATTTTGCTGAACTGAGCTGAATAGATAATCTTCAAGTAAGATTTCTCAAGAGGAGATGAGAATATTCTGACCTTGGAACCACAAAGCATTAATCCCAATAGAATTTTAATTCTTATTACAAAAAAAGGCAAAATTGTTATATTATTTACTCTTTTCTCAACATGAAATTTCCGTAAGACAGTTTGTGTTTTGACACTTTTTTTTACAAAAATGATATATGTGTTATGCATTGGTCAAGTTATAGTACAACTATTTATTTGAATATCTCAACCACTTTGATAGCAGCAATTGATAATTATGCTTTTTGTTTCTGGATTTTAAAAATAAAACTAAAACAAACTATAGTCCATTTCAACTCATGGAGACTCTCCATCAGGTTTCCAGGACTGTTAAATATTAATTAGAGTTTACCGCTTCATCTTTTTTTCCACATGAATGGATGAAGAATTGAACCACTGACCTTTTAGTTTCCAGTCCAAAAGTAACCCACTCTGCCACCAAGGATCTCTAAAATGCCTGTTACTTATGAATAATAAGATTCTATTGAGAAAATGAATCTTATTCCATCCATCTATATAAAAATACGTTCTTTAGACAGTTTTGAAAATGGCAATTCATATCTTGAGATAATTTGTTTCACACTTTTGAAACTGTAAGATTTAGAAGACATTTTGTTCCTTGGCAGTGTCGTGTACAGGGAATTGTACCAGCTTCTCCAAGAGAGAAAGATGTGCAGTATCCTCCTGTAAAATTGACAGCTTCTGGAAACCAGCTGGAGGGTCAGCTATCATTTGGTTCCAACTCAATGGCAATGAGTGAGTCAATGTAAATTATCTATGGAACTACTTGCCTTGGCAGAGTTGACCAAAAGAGAATAGCAGGCCTGAGTGTTAATTAGATGCTACACTATTAAAGGACATGATATAATGAAGCTACTATTAATTACAGAGAAACTAGAATGTAATTTTCACATACTATTCTACCAAGACTACCTTATTTTAGTGATGTCATTCTGTCTACCAGAGAATTGATCTGAGTCCCTACTGCTTTTAATGGTTGATCTATACTTACTTTTGTTTGCTAAAAGTTTTTCTAGGGATTGAGACCACTGTATTACTTCATCAGCAGAAAGTCTACAGAAGACAACATTTACATAAATCAGTAATATTTACTTTTGCATATAATCACAAATAAAATAGGTATGGCTACTCTATTTTGATAGCTTCATTATGAACATTTACCAGTAAAACCAAAACTTTCTCTTAGATTTTCATAATTATAACAACAATTAAACAAGTAAATTAAAACAAATTAAATTTAATTAAAACAATTAAAGTCAGCCAATAAAGTTTGAGCTATCTAATTAGATGTATTCCAACAGTGCATAACTAATGAATATTGCACACATGTTGATATCAAATTTCCACTGGTATTAATTTATGCTAATCTTATTTGCCCCATTATTTAGAAGAAATAAAGTCCATTATATGAAGTACTAATCTCTCACTACTATGCAAAGGTAATATGCCGGCTATTCTTGCAATTATATTACAGGACATTAGTTTACATACATGTCCTTAGACTTGGATGATTTCATTCCAGACTCAAGATGTGGGATCATAGATCTCAGGTATGTTTTCACATCCATTCCACTACAAAAGACACAAAATTAAATGTTTGTTATCTCAATAAAGTATCCTTCATTTGTTAAAAGGAACAAAACATAAAAATAGCTTTTTCCCAAGGAATAAAGCCATAAAATAAGTGCATTTTACTATCATAAGATAGAGCTAATTATGTTAGCTAAAGTTTGTAAAACATTCTCATCAATTTGATGCCCTTAGCATTATTTAATTTCTAATATATTTAAGTTTTACAGATAATTGCCCTATTAAGGCTAAATTCTCATTCTGTCTTCCATTCATTCTCAATCTTTCTACCGTAAAATCAGAAAGTTAAAATAAAATTCCCACATCTACATTAAAATCCTCAGCAAATAAACTTACAAGGTCTTTGGCTTCTTTTCCTGAGTTCTGTTGTCTAGAAATAAATGGCCAGCTCCTTTCAACTCCTTTGGGCTAGCAGAGAAGAACATTCCTGGCATTTTGTCTAACCTTGGCTTGGAGATGGCTGCTGCTCGCATCGTCCTCACACTGCAAATATCTGCTCCTCAACAGTTCTGCTGCTTTATATAGTGAAGGGAAGCAGGCTCGTACTGTTCAAAGGAGTCTGTTTATCAAGTGATGTTACCGCAGACTCTGGAAGTTCCCCCTTTCTTGATGTGCTGTGACGTGTGTCTTGAAAAAAAAACCTGCATACAGTGATGTCTTGTGGTTGAAACTTAACCAAGTGAGAACAGGTCACTTGATTAGAGAGAAAGAAAGAACATTAAAACATACAGAGGCACTCAGACGTACACCACATGTCTAAACCATTAACAACATCAGTTTGGATTTAGATGAGGGTGGTTTCTCCTTGAAAAAGAAAAGAGAGAGAGAAAGAAAATACTTTACTCAGTATCCACTCAATGCTTTGGTTAGAAATTGACTATAAAATTTACCTGATCATGATATTTATAATGTCTCCTTTCCCTGCCTCTACGAAACAGTAAATCAATTAAAAAAAAATCAATACTTTTAAAATTATTTCTGCATACATCTGGTGATTGGAAGAAATCACAAGAAGTTGTCTTCACTTTTCTCCACTCTGACTCTTCCAGTTTATTTGCAGTGGAAAATGCTACATAGTCAAAATGTGTGCTGGTGACACAATGGTTAAGCACTTAGTTGCTAACATTAATTTGAACCCATTAGCCCCTCTGCAAGGGAAGGATGTAACAACATGCTTTCGTAAATATTTGTAGCCTTGGAAAGTTATAGGGCAGTTCTACTTTGTTCTATGGCTTTGGATTGTTTAGTCAGCAACGGACAATGTTTTTTAGCACATTACTTCTTCTTGCTTTTATATTATTGGCAATGTTTCTGGGTGATGCAAATTATTATTACATCAGTCTGCAGTCTAATAATTGAAAGGTTGGAGGTTCAAGTCCACACAGAAGCACCTTGGAAGAAAGGAAAGGTAATCTAGGAAGGTTTTTGGTAATTTAGGGTGGAAATTGTAATTTAGGAAGGAAAAAATGTGATTTAAGGAGGAATGGTAATTTGGGGGGAGCCCCCACAAAACCAGCTCATAGAAGATGTATGGATGTAGTTCTACTCTGATAAAATATAAGATTACTATGAGTTGGAATTGATTTAGCAGCATCTGGTATTAGTAGCAATTTACTGCAATGTGGCAGGGAATTTTAATGCATTTTGTAATGTGGTTGTTGTCATTATATGTCATTGAGTTGAGTATGATTCATAGCAACCCTACGAACAATGACTCTGAATGCTGCCCACTCTTGAGCCAACCTTAATGACTCTGACACATGTGCCCCATTGCGACTGTCTCTGTGTCAGTCCTTCTCATTCAGTCTTCCTCTCCAGCACTTGCCCTCTACCCTTACAAGTATGATATGCCTTTTCCAAGGACTGGGTCCTCCTGGCCCCATGTCCAAAGTATGTCAAATGGAGTTTCAATCCTTGCCTACAAGAAGCCACTTGGTTGCATGCTTTCCAGGACAGATCTGTTTGTTGTCTTGGCAATTAATGGTATGTTCAAGTCTCTTCTTCAGCACCACAACTCAAAGCCATCAATTCTTCGTCTGCCATTCTTAGTCATTGTCCATTCTCAGATGCATAGCAAGTAATTGTGAAGACTATGGTTTGGATCAGGTGCACTTTATTCTCTAGATTGACATTGTTGCTCCTTAGCACTCGAAAGAGGTCCCTGATACCAGACTTTCCTAAAGCAATTAGTCCTTATTTCCTGACTGATGGTGTCAAGAATGTTGATTGTGGAGCCAAGCAAGATGAAATTGCTAACATCTTAATCTTTTCTTTGTCTATCATGATGTTGCCAATTAGCCCATTGGTGAGAATCTTTGTTTTGATATTAGATGCAATCTATATTGAAGACTGAAGTTCTTGACTTTCTGAAGCAACTGCTTCAAGTTTTCCTCCGTTTCAGTGAGTAGGGTTGTGTCATTTGCATAATACAGGCTGTTGATGAGTCTTCCTCCAGTCTTCTGATGCCACATTTTTCCTCATAAAGTCCAGCCTCTGGAATGATCTGTTCTGCACGTTGATTGAAAAGGTATGGCAAAAGGACACACCCCTGACACACTTTGTTGATTTTGAGCAATGCTGTTTCTTTTATAAATTTAGACAACAGCTTATTTATCTAAGTATAGGTTTGACATGAGCACAATCAAGTGTTCTTGGATTTTCATTCTTCTCAATGTTAGCCACATTTGTTCTGATCCACACAGTCAAATGCTTTTGTACAGTTCTGGTACTCTCTGTTTTCAGCCAAGATCCATCTGACATTGGCAGTGATATCACTAGTGTCATGACCTCTTCTAAATCCAGCTTCTATTTTTGAAAGTTCTCTGTTCCTGTACTGTTGCAGTCATTTTTGGGGTCATTTTCAGCAAGATTTTGTTTGCCTGTGAATTTAATAATATTATTTGATAATTTACATACTCTACTGGATAAACTAATTTTGGGAATGGGGATAAATATGGATCATAGGACTAGACATTTTATTATGATATATAAGATTTTAAGGAGCACATAGATTTTAATGTTTATTAATATTTAATATATGAAACTATGATTTACTTTCCTATTGCTTTGAATAGAAAACTAAAATTAAAAACAAAACTATAATTGAATAAACACATAATTAACACACAAACATGACAGACTTTGTAAATATACTGGTACTAAAGAATCAACCAGAAAGGAAAAATATTGAGGGTAAAATAGGTATGTATTTGAATTGACAAATAATACACACTTCTTAGATAATGATCTTCCAAATGTTGGCATAGTAGTAGAGCTTATATAGACTTGAGATTGAGAGTGTAAAGAAAGAAATTAGATGACTAAAAGATGATAAAAGCAAGGTATCAACGTAATGTATGATCTTACAAACTTTATATACAGCATGTGGTTTATTTATAGAGTATTGACTTGAACTTAATCCTCCTTGGTTTTTTGCTTTTGAAGGGAAAAAATAGGTCTTGCTATGAAACATTCCTGAGGGTAGAGGAACTGGCGAAATAAAAGAGAATATAAACCATTTCTGTCTTGGTTTTGAGATCAGGATAAAACAAACTGGGAAGAAATATTTATAGTTCTATGAAGGTCACAATTACCATAGTTATGGACAATCATTATATGCAAAAAGCAACATCAGGGGTTAGAAATATACAGTGATGTGTTAAGAAAGAGAACTAGGGAAATGAGCTGACCACTTTGGAGTGACCCATACACAATTGATGTGGTTCACAGATTGATGACATACTTTTTTTTTTCTTTATTTCCTGTGGTTCAGGTTTTACGTTCTCTTAGGATCTTCAGCATTGCTCATGTGTGTTTGTTTGTTTGTGTTGTTATGTGCTGTCAAGTTGGAACTGACTCATAGCTGACCAGTGGTTTTCAGAGGTCCTGAATTGCACCCGAGAAGATTGCCTATCTTTCTCTCATGGAGCAGATTGGAACTGTGTGCTTTTCAGTTGCCAGTGCAACTCCTAACCACCAGGCCATCACAATCTCTAAATAATTATAGGTAAATTATGGATCCAATCTATGATCTTCACAATTACTTGCTATGCATCAGAGAGCTGGAAACCAAGTTTCTCCTTGGAGGCTAAGATCTTGAAGCTCCATCTCACATACTTTGGGCATGTGGCCAGGAGGGACTGATCCTTGGTAAAAAAGATCATGCTTAGAAGGGTGGAGGAATAGCTCAGGAGAAGAAGGCCCTTGATGAGATGGATTGATATAGTAACTTGGGCGCTGGGGGTAGGTATATCTGAGTCAATAAGACTGGATCAGGACAGGGCAGGCTTCAGAGCTATTGAATATAGGGTCATTGTGAGTTGCCGGTGACTTGACAGCGTATAGCAACAACAATGGTAGAGAAAAATTATTTATTTAAGAATCCACTGTTATTATTTTCCAAACAATAATTTCCAAAGTATGTTTTAACAACATTGATTCCTTTGGATGTTAATAAATATTACAAGAAGTGCATGGTAATAGTAGTAATGGTTATAAAGCCACATAAATTTGAAAAATATTGGGTTAAAGTTCTTAAGCAGCTATTTTCTCAAAGCTCACTGTTATTCATTATTCACTAGCTAATTTGAACCATCTATGAATCAAAACAAGGTAAATCTGTTAATGTAGGTGCTGTCAAGTCAAATATGATTCATAATAATCCTATAACAATAGATCTGAACCCTAGAGCTGATGAGTACATGACAAGACATTGAAAATTCCCTCTGGATCTCATATATCATCATTTGACTTCTCTTTGTGAAATTAATTAGGGAGGTCTGGTGGTGGCACAGTGGTAAGAAATTGTGCTGCAATCCTGAAGGCCTCCGGTTCAAATCCACCAGTTACTACATGGAAAGATGAGCATAAACATGAAGACAGTCTTTCAAATAATGACTTCAATGAGTGAATTAATTTGATTAACATTATAGAAGATTTTAGAAAGACCAATAAAAAATTCCAGTGACTCTCTTAAATAAAATTTTATTTTTACTTCTCTTCAGAAAAATAGTTAATAATTAGGTTTCAGCTCTTTAAAAATGTACTATTTCATGTCATATTAATTATCTTTTAAATTGTCAAGGAGTATGGTTCAGGGAAACCTTTTAGATTGCATCTACAGGTGATAAAGGAAGAATTTCAAGCTGCACAGAAAAAACTACCAAACATCAAGGGCCCAGGAATTGATGGTATACCAATTGACATATTTCAATGAACAGATGCTTCTCTTGATGCACTCACCAAGTTATGCCAAGAAATCTAAAGAACAATCATCTGGCCGACTGACTGGAAAATATCCTTATTTGTTCACACTGCAAATAAAGGTGACCTGAGAAGAGCAGAAATTATTAAACAATATCATTACTATCACATACAAGCAAGATTCTACTAAAAATGATCCAAAATCAACTGGAACAGCAATTACCAGAGAGCTGGCAGATATGCAGGCTGGCTTTAGAAGAGGCTGTGGTACTAGGGATATTATACATAATGTGTCTTGGATCTTGGCTAAAAACAGAGGCTACCACAGTAGTGTCTGT